CGGCGGCCATCTTGTCGGCCATCTTGAATATTTCAAAATGCCCAAAGATGACAGTGTCATCAGTCAGTTTCATAATCTAGAGTACATCATTAAACAAATCTAGCAATAAAAAAAAACTTTATCCCCTAATTCTGGGTTGGGGTAAAATATTCATTTCTCTGCCGGACTAACTATGACGTCACTGCTCGACTCCAGTCCAATGCAATGCCTACACAGCTGCAGAGCTCCAGATAAGCTGCGTATCTGCGTGAAATACGCATAAGAAATGTAGAAATACGCAGTAAAATAAAATCCAAGCGTATCAAATACGCAACGAACATCACAGATACGCTACAAAAATACTTGTGCGTATCATCAGAATATTGTGAAGTAACCCTGCGTATTCGATTAGCAAATCAGCAACTTATTTTGAAATTATAAACGGGTATTCCGTCAACCTCACCAAACTCCACGATCATGATCATTTGCCATCACACTTTCTTGTGGAAGCATCGTGGTATTTTTGAGTCCTATAAAGCTCTCGAACCCACTCGACACCAGTTTGCAGGGACTAGATGAATAGTGTTATTAAATATTTAACTTAAATACCCACATGTCTAAAAACTAGTGGGTAACAGAAATTTGAATACCCAGATAGAATTACTGATACCCAATGATTTTAAAATGCATGGGTAAAATACCCACAACACCAAAAGCATATCTGGATCTCTTCAGCTGTGTGCCCAGGTTAATGGCTCACACATAACAGTTGTGTACACTGGGCTTCCTTTGTCTGCGCAGGGACTTAATATATAGCCATTGCCCTTGATACAAGATAGTGCGGTTATGAGTAGGAATCCATGTTCGTCATTTTTATCCCCCGCCGCGCGAAAGCGCGAAGCGGGGGATATAGTATTCACGACCGTCCGTACGTCCGTCCGTCCGTCCGTCCGTACGTCCCACCTGTTTGTTGCCGCGATATCTCAAGAACTAAACACTGGATTGTCTTCATATTTGGAACTATGGTGTATATACAGACTCCGCAGACACCAGTCGGTTTTGGTGACCTTGATCCCATTTTCAAGGTCACAGCAGACAAATCTGCTTTTAGAGTTGGAAAACGGTGTTGCCGCGATATCTCAAGAACTAAACACTGGATTGTCTTCATATTTGGAACTATGGTGTATATACAGACTCCGCAGACACCAGTCGGTTTTGGTGACCTTGATCCCATTTTCAAGGTCACAGCAGACAAATCTGCTTTTAGAGTTGGAAAACGGTGTTGCCGCGATATCTCAAGAACTAAACACTTGATTGTCTTCATATTTGGAACTATGGTGTATATACAGACACCGCAGACACCAGTCGGTTTTGGTGACCTTGACCCCATTTTCAAGGTCACAGCAGGCAAATCTGCTTTTGGAGTTGGAAAACGGTGTTGCCGCGATATCTCAAGAACTAAACACTGGATTGTCTTCATATTTGGAACTATGGTGTATATACAGACTCCGCAGACACCAGTCGGTTTTGGTGACCTTGATCCCATTTTCAAGGTCACAGCAGACAAATCTGCTTTTAGAGTTGGAAAACGGTGTTGCCGCGATATCTCGAGAACTAAACACTGGATTGTCTTCATATTTGGAACTATGATGTATATACAGACTCCGCAGACACCAGTCGGTTTTGGTGACCTTGATCCCATTTTCAAGGTCACAGCAGACAAATCTGCTTTTAGAGTTGGAAAACGGTGTTGCCGCGATATCTCAAGAACTAAACACTGGATTGTCTTCATATTTGGAACTATGGTGTATATACAGACTCCGCAGACACCAGTCGGTTTTGGTGACCTTGACCCCATTTTCAAGGTCACAGCAGGCAAATCTGCTTTTGGAGTTAGAAAACGGTGTTGCCGCGATATCTCAAGAACTAATCGCTGGATTGTCTTCATATTTGGAACTATAGTGTATATACAGACACCGCATACACCTGTCAGATTTGGTGACCTTGACCCCATTTTCAAGGTCACAGCAGGCAAATCTGTTTTTGGAGTTGGAAAACGGTGTTGCCACAATATCTCAAGAACTAATCGCTGGATTGTCTTCATATTTGGTACTATGGTGTATATGGCGGGGGATATTTCGTCACTCTGTGACAAATACTTGTTCTAAATTAGACAACATATGTTGTTAATGTTGTTGACATTATTCCATGCGCGATCCTCACAATCATTATCGCCTAACATTAGCTTCGAAAATTATCAAAAGATAATTTACCACCCACTCTCATTTTGTGTGCCGAATCTAACTGTATTCATTTCAACGTAGACTAACATATAGTCTCTGAAATGAACATATCGTACAGAAAAAAACAGTTGTTCAGTTATCTTAATAAAAAATCTAATAAAAAGGGAGCCCAGTGATAATCTAGACTTGCCAAACATTATAGACTTGCATGGGCTGTAGTTGATATAAATGTATCAGGGTCTGTAAGACAGACTAATTTCAACGTTACATTGGTGTTTATTAATTCTACCCCCTGTATAGCATTATTAATGTTGAGACGCCATGAATTGGATTTGGAATTACCATTTAAGGTTCGCACATAACGTTAAATGTTTATTATGTGACATGACAGTAAACATTAATAATTGCTTGTCCGTCTGAAATGTGACCTACCGCGTGACAAAGTGCATGGCCCGTTCTACAAAACGCTCCGACTTTCGTCAGTCAAAATATGGGCGTGACTGTCGTTTTGGCGCTAAGATCGCCGTCTGGAACGGGGTCAAGCTAGACAGCTATTTGTAACCCTGGATAGTTGCCACGCGTGTTGCTGGGCAGGTCAAGAGGTTTCTCGGACATGTGATCTACCACGTGTACGTGCATGGTTGAACTCTTGAAACACCCTGCATTACGTAACGAACAGATAATTAGCACCAGGTGTACACGTATGTACAGTTCATGACATCTAACCCACTTTGACCGTTGACCTGATATTGTTTGACGCGATTGAGACACTACGTGGTATTCTAAACCAGGAAACTGCTGACTTGACTACATGTCACGTTCGGATTGTCCAGGTAACCGACCGACCTTATCAATGTGTGTATGTGTCTGATCAACAAACTCGTTTGGGTCAGTCTATCTTATTGGAAAAGTATCAGCATACAGACCAGTAATCCCCTCAACCTTGACCTATGTGATTATAAGCTGTATGACAAAAGGAAGAGGGGGCACCGGTGGCCCTGTCATCTAAGGCGCCGCGATTCGCTGTGCAGAGTTGCGTCCCTTGGGCACGCCAGAAACCTATGATTGTGGGTTCGAATCCCGGTTCGCCCCGATTATGTTTCTATGTTTGTCAGCACCATATCCGTGCTCGTGGGTTTCACCGAAGTGGTAAACGTATGAGACCTGCATTACTTCCGGCTTTCCTCCCACATTCAGCTGACACGCCGTGATATGACTGGGATACTGTTAAAAGTGGCGTTAAGCCCCACTCACTCGCTCACGCACCAAAAGGAAGGCACCTTGAGAAACTGGGGGGGGGGGGGGGATATAATATGGTTCATGGAGTGAGAGACGGACTAGTTTTGCGAGTAAAAACAATAAAAGATCTAGACATACGTGACACGAATACCACCACCACTATTACTCCGAACCTTCACCTCGAAGGTGGCCATAGACTTGTGCAGTCTCCTTTTGGATGAATATTTCACATTATCTTAATCACATCGAAAGCACTAACAATAATTTGAACCGTTCTTTCTGAAAGGTTTCCATAGTTTTTAGTTGCTTTTGAACAACCAGTGATCAAGGAAAATATAACTCGTTTTTGGGGTATTATTTTTGGAACGGACATCTATGGCGACAGTAGTTCTGATGATATTGGTGTCCAGTGAGTATTGACCCGTGAAGATTCCGGGTTAGAATATGTCTTCAACAACCCACCCACAACAAGTCAGTGTTAAAGAATAGGAATTATGATCGACTTTGCGCTGAAATCGCTTCGCGCAACGGGGCCCAGATTTTTTTGGTCAATACATTTTTTAGCTTAACATGCTTACAATTACGTTTTTAGAGTAACTTAAACAAGAAAGTGTCTATATTTTAAGAAATTAATTTCATAATGTGTTGGAACCCATGCTTGCCGTAAAACGTGACTATGCTTGTCGTAAAAGGCGACTAACGGGATCGGATCGTCAGGCTCGTTGACTTGGGGGATGCATGTCATCGATCCCAATTGCGTGGATCGATGCTCATGATATTAATCACTGGATTGTCTGGTCCAGACTCGATAATATACATACCGCCGTCATATAGCTGGAATATTGCTGAGTGCGGCGTTAAACAACAAACCAACCAACCAACGATATCATGAGCATCGATCCACGCAATTCGGATACATTCACGTGCATCAACCAAGTCAGCGAGCCTGACCACCCGATCCGGTTAGTTGCAAGCATGGGTTGCTGAAGACCTATTCTAAGCCGGATCTTCACGGGTCTAACGTGATAAAAGGACTGGTCGGAGTCCGTATACTGTGTCTGAGTGGGGTATCCATGTTAATATAGAGCTAGGTATTTCAGTGGACGAACACAAAAAACGGCATGACAACGGACTTGTGCGCTCACACACATACAACACAACACAACACAACGCAACACAACACAACACAACACGTGTCAATAACTGTCCTCACAAGGAACGGTTTATTCCTTGTTGTGAACACCGCACCTGAACGGACTCGTCTGTCCGAATCTACCATGGTATAACCTGATGGATAAGACAGCCTCAACTCATCCGGGGTTCGATTCCCCACATGGGTACAATACTCCCCAGCCCATCTTTGATATAGCTAAAAGTTAAAACCATACTCGTTGTTCATAATACTGAACTGACTATTCATCATACCGAACTAGCTATTCATGATACTGAACTAGCTATTCATACTACTAAGCTAGATATTCATGATACTGAACTAGCTATTCATAATACTGAACTAACTTGGTGTTTTGTTCCTTTCAGAAATCACCATGGCGGGAGAGGATGAGGTCGAAACTACCCAGAAGAAGGACATGTTGGCGATGGCAATGCTGAAGGGAACGATGGACCTCCACGACAAAGCCGAGAAGTGTTCCTACATCCTCAGGATGATTGAGAGTCGGATAACCAGGCCGCAGTATCGCCTCCTCCTCGCCGACCTGCACGTCATCTACTCCGCACTGGAGGTGGAAACGGAGCAGCTCAAGGAAGACCCGATATATGGCCCGATGTACTGTCCAGACGAGCTGAATCGAGTAGACGCTCTGGAGAAGGATTTGCTCTACTTCTATGGTCGTAATTGGAGGAAGTCGATCACACCTACCAAGGCGGCTTTGAAATACGCTGACCACATACACGAGATTGGTCAGAGGCAACCCTGTCTGCTTCTTGCCCACTCCTTCGTCCGTTACCTAGGCGATCTCTCGGGGGGACAGGTTTTGAAGTTCAAGATGTCTCGCTGTATGTCAATGCCTGCTTCCGGAGAGGGGCTGTACTTCTACCAGTTTGACAAAGTTCAAAACGCCATAAGGCTCAAGAACTACCTGATGGGAAGGATCAACAACCTGGAAGTGGAGCCGCAGCTCTTTGACGACCTTCTCCAAGAGGCTCGCCTAGCCTTCCAGCTTAACATTGACGTGTTCGAAGAGCTGGAACCAATGGCGGAGAGGATCAACAGGCTTCGGAACCCTCCCCAGAACATTGTACTGTTCGAGAAGATCTGGCAAGCGTCAACTGTTGTGCTGTCGTTTGCTGTGATGTACAATCTGTCCAATACACTGTCCGCCATTGTCTGAATGGCCAAGCGTGCTTCCAAGTTTCCAATATGCAGTGCCGCAGGGAATCTTGCCGGTTTGCACTGTCTGCGATGAACCGATAATAACTGATTTGACTCGTATCAACATCCTCATTATTACCTTGACAACGTGAAGCTCGTTATGGATTGCACTCACAACCTCGTCTCAAATGAAATCACGCGAGGTCGTAAATTGAGTCATCTCCCCTAAATTTGACATACAAGTAACCCTAGAAACAACTTAATAATTGAATAATTGTGATCTTTGACGTGTCATAGGAATGACTGTTCACGGTGCCTTCATGGGTTTGTTCTTGTAGAAAATATTGATTCTCAGTGCTATGACATTGTTCTTATTGGTATCAGTGTAACTGAACGAATATTATATCTCCATTGACATTATTGTGCATGTGTTTAATTGATGCTGTTGATAATATTTCCCATTTAACAAGGCTATTTATTCAGGACAGTTTATTACAAGTACGTCGTTATTGAAGACTAAAGTAATGAACACACAAAAAAACAGATCAAGAAATATTTTTATGTGTGAAATATGACGTAATGTCTTCACTTCAAAACAATAGTGATAAATATCTTGATAATGATCTTCAAGATGACGCGATGAGTGAATTGTGTTATGTATATTACGTTATTAAATGTGTACCTGAACATCCGGGAACTTGAGCAGCGTGTTCACATTATGGAGCAGTTCAAAGTTTATCGGGGAACGGGGGCAGTTCACGGTGCAGAGTTGCGTCCCTTGGACACGCCAGGAACCCATGGTCGTGGGTTCGAATCCCGGTTCGCCCCGATTATGTTTCTAGGTTTGTCAGCACCATACCCGTGCTCATGGGTTTCACCGAAGTTCTTCTGAGACCCGCATCACTTCGGGCTTTCTTCCCACATTAAGTTGACACGCCGTGACATGACTGGAATACGGTTCAAACCGGCGTTAAACCTAACTCACTCACTCAAACTTTGTCAGATACAAATCTGAAGTTAAATTTGGGATGACGTAATATGTCTGCAAGTAACCCCACAACTTTTAGGGTGATTTTCAATTGAAGTCAATAAATAACAGTTACACTTTATATTGTGGGAACAGCAACTCTTTTTCAGGTATGAGGGGTGGTCGTGTAGCCTAGTGGTTAAAACGTTCGCTCGTCACGCCGAAGACCCGGGTTCGATTCCCGACATGGGTACAATGTGTGAAGCCCATTTCTGGTGTCCCCCGCCGTGATATTGCTGGAATATTGCTAAAAGCGGCGTACAACCATACTCACTCACTTTTCAGGTATGAAATCGATTTTTTTGTATATCCTTGTTAATGTTTAGAACCGCTCTTATCGTTCACCGTCATGGTGTGGAATCTTGTAATTGCTAAACAATATTAGAGCTTAGAGCAGTCGATAACGACGTTGACTCATATTAACGACTTCGACATCGACGTCAATTGATGCGCCTTGGACGATATGTTCACGCTGATGCATGGACCTTGATATGTGACGTACTTTTATCACTGCCATTCTGTTTTTAAACACGTGACCATGCTCATGTGTTTCAGGACTCCGCCGTTATGGCTGAAGGGAGTGTTAAGCAGCGTAATTCCTTCGTTGTGTTTTACACACTCAATGACTAGCTTTGTCAGGTTCATTCGGGACAACTCGTGTCTTTCCGGGACCTCTTGACGGCCATCTTGTTGACTTGGTTCCTTCTCAAGAAACCATAGAGGCAATAATTGACGTACATGATGTGATGGCTGCTTTTACATAATCTTAACAGCAATATGACTTTCTACAATCTTTTGGCCCTTAGAAGAATACCTAAGTAACCCATAAGTAATACCTTGCAGAGGTATTATTTGACCGACCTACTTATGTTCCTAAGTACATTCTGATTGGTACATTGTGCTCTAACATCTAACGTCTAAAAACGGTCTCCTTGCAGTTTACGGAAAGAGGCGAGCAGTCACGAATGGGTCAATTTTGACCCCTGCGATTATCATTAATTAACGGTTTGATAGATGGTTTGCATTTTCATGACTTTTGCACCAAAGAATGTTAAAATAATCTTGATGGGTTAATTAATATTGTGACAGTATTATGAATTTAGAAATTCCTTTATGTAATTTGGAAGTGTCAGATAAATTAAACCATTAACTGGAGTCTGTTTGTTTTATCCATGTTTTGTTTAATTCCGAGGGCCCCGTGGTCTAATCGATAGTGTCTGACAGGAGGGTGGAAGGTCGGTGGTTCGGTCCCCGGCCGAATCATATCAAAAGACATGTTTGTTTGTTTGTTGTTTAACGCCAAACTTAGAAATATTCCAGCTATAGGACGGCGGTCTGTAAATAATTGAGTCTGGACCAGACAATCCAGTGATTGATATCATGAGCATCGATCTTCACAATTGGGATAATAAGCATTGATTCACGCAATTGGGATACGATGGCATGCATCAACCAAGTCAGCGAGCCTGACCACCCAATCCTGTTAGTCGCCTCTTACGAGATGGGAGATCTTACACACTGCCAATTCAAGTATTGTGTGCATCTAAGTATCGATGATATTGTAGGTATCAGTGAATCGTTACAGCCCAAGAAACAAACACAGTGTATCCAGTCTTGTGGGAGCAGCAACATCGTGCCTACCTCATCCCGCCTGTCTGGAGTTGATCTAGCACTACTGTGCACCCGAACCGTCACAGAACCGCGCAGGGTAGAGTGTCACGCCGATACGTCGCGATATAACTGGAAGACTGTTAAATGGGGCGTTAAACTCAACTCACTCACACTCACGACCTGATGAGGCTGTTTGCATCCAGCTTGTTCAGTCATGACGGGGGGCGGTCGGGTAGCCTAGTGGTTAAAACGTTCGCTCGTCACGCCGAAGACCTGGGTTCGATTCCCGACATGGGTACAATGTGTGAAGCCCATTCCTGGTGTCCCCCGCCGTGATATTGCTGGAATATTGCTAAAAGCGGCGTAAAACATCACTCACTCACTCATGACGGGGCTGCCATGTACACTGTATGCTTTTAAACATATGTCAAACACAGTTGACAGGGCATTACATCGGATTGCGACAAAGAATTATGGAATAAATCCAATATAAAATACAGAATTATCTATTGTCCGCAATCACATTTGTGAAGAACACAGAACCAGCCATTTTTATGACAAATATACCACAACAGCTATATTTGGTGAAATGTTGAAAAATAAAATCGATTCACAACTGTCCTAACTGTTTGGTCCTGCTAGAAATACGCATTGAAATTGCAGACTCAATCTGATTTGTCTTTAATACAACAGACATATCGAGGTCTGTGAGTGAGTTGTGTTTAACGCCGCTTTTAACAGTATTCCATCCATATCACGGCGTGTCAGCTTAATGTGGGAGGAAAGCCACAAGTGATGCTGGGCGAACCGGGATTCGATACCACAATCATAGGTGTCTGGCGTGCCCAAGGGACGATCGAAGTCTGTGAATACACCCGACCCAAAGCGGCTATACGAGCAGTCACATTTGACTTTCCCCTAACGCACGGGTGGCCCATTCGTCTAAGGCGCCGCGATTCGCTGTGCAGAGTTGCATCCCTTGGGCACGCCAGAAACCTATGATTGTGGGTTCGCATCCCGGTTCGCCCCGATTATGTTTCTAGGTTTGTCAGCACCATACCCGTGCTCGTGGGTTTCACCGAAGTGGTAAACGACTAAGACCTGCATCACTTCGGGCTTTCCTCCCACATTAAGCTGAAACGCCGCGATATAACTGGAATACTGTTAAAAGCGGCCTTAAACCAAACTCACTCACTCACTCACCCAACGCTCAGATGACATGTCGTGCATGATAGCACTGTTCGACCCAGGCGCTGAACTCCTTTTCACCGAGTTGATGAAAACTGTCAAACCAACACACGGCAGTCGGCTCACCTCAACGACCGGATTAAACCGAGTTGACCTGACTGGGACAAAAATGTGATGGGTATTTTTCACAACCAGAGATCCAAGAAGAGATTAAAAATAACATGCCAGATGATATGTATTTTATGCAAATCAAAGCCATCTCATTGTTTTGTCGCAAGACGCAAGTCATCCAATCACTGCGTCCCGACATAGGAAATATACTGCTGTTCAAAAGAAACTATGCATCGACTTGGACTGCTTGAAAAAAGAAAATGTAATGTATTTTGAAGTTCTGTCGGTGCGGGACGGTCACACGTACGTGGCCTACCGCTTCGTGGCCTGTCCCGGATAAAAGTCCGTAACCTTCACCGAGCATCATTCCTGCAACATGGACCTGCGTAGCCCCGAACAGCGCCATTCCAACCATTCCAAGAGACACCTCCCTCTCTCTCTCTCTCGGGGGCACGGGTGGCCCAGTCGTCTAAGGCGCCGCAATTCGCTGTGCAGAGTTGCGTCCCTTGGGCATGTCAGAAACTTATGATTTTGGGTTCGAATCCCGGTTCGCCCTGATTATGTTTCTAGGTTTGTCAGCTCCATACCCGTGCTCGTGGGTTTCACCGAAGTGGTAAACGTATGAGACCTGCATCACTTCGGGCTTTCCTCCCACATTAAGCTGACACGCCGTGATATGACTGGAATACTGTTAAAAGCGGCGTTAAACCCAACTCAATCTCTCTCTCTCTCTCTCTCTCTCTCTCTCTCTCTCTCTCTCTCTCTCTCTCTCTCTCTCTCTCGTAACCCCAAACAGCGCCATTCCAAGAGACCCTCTCTCTCTTGTCAAAACTGTGGGGTGATGGGTGTGATTGGAAGTCGTTTCAAGCTAAATTCAGTTTCATTGAGCCGTGAAATTGAAACCTCTTCACAATCTAACAATGTATACTTTCTTTTGACCGTCAGTCTAGTTCTATCACTGCACTTTAACTTTGAATTACCTGACTTAACTGCAACCACGTACGTTACGTTCGGAACATGTCAGTTATGATAAAGTCCATGCATAACAAGACAGCACGTCTTGTAACTGTTGACCTGAATATTAACGCCAATCAAACTAGACATAATTTACATATTCATATGACTTCAAACGTTGGGCTGACATGCAATTTTAGAGATATGTCTTGTCAGTAGTCTTAGTTGTATCCCCAGCCATTCGCTTTCACAACGATATATAGCGAGGATATTGTTGGTTTTATACTCACCATGTCATAACCCACACCACCACGTATATTGTGCGTTACACCGAAAACACCATGTCAACAAATCCATACTGAAGTACGCAAGTTAATCATGTAATTACACTGTCTGGTTATTGAAAGTGTTCATTGTATATCTAGACTTATGTTTGAATACACTTACCGGAAATGTATTCAATGATTTATTCATTATTTTTTCCGGTACGCTAGCGTTTTGTTGATGTTCTGCATCCTATTCGCGTGGATGATTCATGCATACATCCTCATACATAATCATGAATGTCCTAATGTTATTCATATTATATTTTATCATCGCATAAAAAAAACACTTCTTGCTTTAAATTTCCATATATATATATATAGTAATTTATCAAACTCATGTCCTGCATAAATGTTCTGACGAAGTTTGTTTTAAGGAAATGTACTAAAGTCTTCTTTATGGACACCGACTGATGGTTTATTGCATTTAGCGACATCTTGATGCTTACTTGTATATGCTATGAATGACACATTCAACAGTACCCAACTTGTACCTGTTAACATGCTATGAATGACACATTCAACAGTACCCAACTTGTCCATGTGTACATGCTATGAATGGCACATTCAACAGTACCCAACGTGTACCTGTTAACATGCTGTGAATGACACATTCAACAGTACCCAACTTGTCCATGTGTACATGCTATGAATGACACATTCAACAGTACCAAACTTGTCCATGTGTACATTCTATGAATGGCACATTCAACAGTACCCAACTTGTCCATGTGTACATGCTATGAATGACACATTCAACAGTACCCAACTTGTCCATGTGTACATGCTATGAATGACACATTCAACAGTACCAAACTTGTACCTGTTAACATGCTATGAATGACACATTCAACAGTACCCAACTTGTACCTGTTAACATGCTATGAATGACACATTCAACAGTACCCAACTTGTCCATGTGTACATGCTATGAATGACACATTCAACAGTACCAAACTTGTCCATGTGTACATGCTATGAATGGCACATTCAACAGTACCCAACTTGTCCATGTGTACATGCTATGAATGACACATTCAACAGTAGCCAACTTGTCCCCATGTACATGCTATGAATGACACATTCAACAGTAGCCAACTTGTCCATGTGTATATGATATGAATGACACATTCAACCTACCCAACTTCTCCATATGTACACGCTATGAATGACACATTCAACAGTACCCAACTTGTCCATGTGTTCATGCTATGAATAGCACATTCAACAGTACCCATCTTGTCGATGTGTATATGCTATGAATGGCACATTCAACAGTACCCAATTTGTCCCGGTGTTCATGCTATGAATGGCACATTCAACAGTACCCAACTTGTCCATGTGTACATGCTATAAATGACACATTCAACAGTACTCAACTTGTCCATGTATATATGCTATGAATGACACATTCAACAGTACCCAACTTGTCCATGTGTACATGCTATAAATGACACATTCAACAGTACCCAACTTGTCCATGTGTACATGCTATGAATGGCACATATAACAGTACCCAACTTGTCCATGTGTACATGGTATGAATGACACATTCAACAGTACCCAACTTGTCCATGTATATATGCTGTGAATGACACATTCAACAGTACCCAACTTGTCCCTGTGTACATGCTATGAATGGCACATTCAACAGTACCTAAGTTGCCTCTATATACATGCTGTGAATGACCCATTAAACATTACACAAGTTGCCCCTATGCATATGCTATGAATGACACAATCAACATTACCCAACTTGGCAATATGTATATGCTTTGAATATTATATTCAACAGTACCCAACTTGTCCATGTGTATATGCTATGAATGACACATTCAACAGTACCCAACTTGTCCATGTATATATGCTATGAATGACACATTCAACAGTACCCAACTTGTCCATTTGTACATGCTATGAATGTCACATTCAACAGTACCCAACTTGTCCATTTGTACATGCTATGAA